AAGTCTTCCCTATCTTCCAATTTCCAAGAGCTGAAAGGTGGTGCTTGATTCTTATTCACAAACAGCTACTTGCCCGGGGGAGCATGAAATTGTCCTTTGGAAAAAAATGCTAGTCCACATGATAGAAATGTTTTTCTTTTGTAGAGTCAAGTGATGAAGTTCATCTGATAAGAGCAAGTCTTGTTCTATACGGGGATTCCATTCGCGGCTCAGCCATCTACCTCATTTGACTAACATCCCCTTGGAAACCACTGTTATCTACTCAGGTTCATGCTAAAATTCTTTAAAATCACAGAGAGGATCAGGGAGCAGCCATTTTTTAAACAGTAAACTCTGTCTTGAAGTATCAGTTACATACAGAAATGTGCCCGAATCATAAGCACACATTTTGATATATTTTTACAAAGTGAACACAATGTGTAACAGAAGACAGATCATCGCCAGCGCTCTGGAGGTCAATGCTGTCACCATCGCCTGAGAGGGTGACCACTATGGACACTGCTAGACATGAGCTTTGCCTGTTTTTGAATTTTATATACATAAAATAATAGAGTATGCAAACTTTTGTTTCTTTAATCAAATCAAACCTTTAATCAATATTCTCTTTGTAAGAGTCAACCAAGAACAATGGAATTTTGAGGTTAAGTTACATGAGAAAGAATATCTGGTTTATAATTTTTTGCTGATTTTGACAATGGTGTTTATGAAAAGCCAACACCAAAACTCAGGGCCTTTTAAAATAGAAGTTCAATGGACATACCAAACCAGTGCAGATATTCTAGAAAAGAATCCTATATAATAAAAGGGAAATATGCAAATTGACCCTAACGGTGGAACCACCCAGGAACAACTGGTCACTATGATCCACACTGACCACCAGGGGGTAGACTCTCAATGCAGGAGCTGCCCCCTGGTAGTCAGTGCACTTCCACAGGGGGAGCACTGCTCAGCCAGAGCCAGCTCATGGCTGGCCAGTGCATTGGTGGTGGCGGGAGCCTCTCCCACCTCCGCGGCAGCGCTAAGGATGTCCAACTAACCAGTTAGGCCCACTCCTTGCAGGGACTGGGCCATCCCCCAAGGGCACCCGGGCTGCCAGAAGGATGTCTGACTGCCAGTTTAGGCCCAATTCCCTGGGGAGCAGGCCTAAGCCGTCAGTCAGACACCCTGCAAGGGATCTGGACTGCAAGAGGGCAAATGTCAGGCTGAGGGACCCCCCACTAGAGTGCATAATTTTCCTGCACCAGGCCTCTAGTACTTTAAATAAGTAGAAACCCCCATGTCATGTTACTTCAGCAACATTCAAAAAGCTGTGTGGATCCAGGTCTAACAGAATAATAGTAAGCACTCACACAATTTCAAATTTGACATGAATGTATTCCTATTCATGGTATTACAGTGACTCCCTGCTTTACAAACTTTGTGAAATTCTTCTAAGCTTCTTAAATTCCCTGCAGCTGAGAGCCACTATATAAATATTCACAGGATTTTCCAAAGTAAAAATTGCTTCTTTTCTTGGCTCCCTACAAGCAAGCCAATATGAGACTTTTACTGGAACAAGATGCAAAGCAAAATCATATTAAATTTGAACATCAATTTTAAAAGCAACTCAAAACTTCTTGAACTAGTAATCAGAAAGGCAGAATATCAATGAGACCATGTCAGACAGTTTAGCTCTTCCAGTTGGGATTTTCTTCCTTAAAAATAAAAATAACCTGTAATATATAAAAATGATTTTCTTCATATTGTACCATAAAGTCAAAATTGCTTTTCATGCTTCCTCATTTGAGTGGATGGAATGTTTGATTTTTCTCTTGCCTGAAAAAGGGGCGCTAGAAGGATAAACGTGGAAAAGCTCCACAATTAAATCATGCTTCCTCATTTGAGTGGAGGGAATGTTTGATTTTTCTCTTGCCTCAAAAAGGGGCGCTAGAAGGATAAACGTGGAAAAGCTCCTACATCCCAAACTGGCATTTGAGAGACCAACATGAATACAAGGTCAAACTTCCCAAAAAGGGATGGAGAATCCAAAATTAGCATCATTTTAATGCCCAATTTGAGTCTCAAAAACTAGCATGGAGCACTGTATAGATCTGAAAGAAAGATCTCATTTATTCATTCATTCCTTTATAAACATCCATTGTGTACTTACCATGTATCGAGCACTTATTGGTAATAATTTACAAAATAAATAGTTTCTTGCTAAGGTAGAAAAATACATACTTGGGACCAATTGTGTGCTAGTAACCAGGCTTTCTGGGATAAGAAAGAAAAAAAAAATCCCAGTTTTCACATTTGCCGATTATCAAGTTCCACGAGATAAACATTTTCTCCATGTCCAATTTCGAGATACCAGTGCGAAGTCACTG